ACAACTTTCGTATATTTTACGTTTCAGAGTCCTATGTGTATGTTGAATTTTACTCAGAACTTAGAATGTTGATATCAGCGCGGGTTATGCTTAAAGTTAACCTTTTATTCTATATGTCAGATAACCTACTTGTTTTTTACGTAGGATTGCTGTCTGATTGACGAAAAGCCGTAATTTTATCTCTATATTTTTTTTTTTAATTTTTTTTTAGGGATGCATCCAATTGCACCTTTTCATTTGAAATATATTTCCGTGACGTAACCTCAAAAGATTAGTCACTTCAATAAAAAAAAAATGTAAGCGCAAATGAAACCTCTTCTCGCATGTTGCACTTTGTGTAATAGTTCTCTTCGACAAAATTAAATATAAAGAAGCCACAATTTGGTTCCTAAATGGATATTTTTTAAAACCCGGGGCCTAAAGCTAGGTAAAGCCTATCTCTTGATAAAGTTTCTTAAATTCGGCAAATTTTAGAGACCGACCGTGCGAGGGCTCAGTCTGTATAGCCATTCAAGGTCGTTAAAACTTTGATCATCCTTGTAGAGATTTTTTGAAAATACGATGGTTGATGCCTTTTTCGAAACTAAAACATGATCAAATATAATTGGTGGCCTTCTGTTTTCATGTTGTTGTCTCTTTTACATATTCCCCATTTCCATTCTTAATTTTAGATAAAGTAAAAAATTATGATAAACAAATGTATTCTTGTTGTCAGATCAAAAATTCATTTAACAAGCCAGTGCGATAAAATTCCATTCGTTACTATTACGTAAAATATATATCACGATATCTCAGTAGCATGGGTTCGAATCCCGGCGAGGGAAGAACAAAATATTTGCGAAAGCAAATTTACAGATCCCACATTGTTGGGTTGATGTTTAGACGAGTTGCATATATATATATATATAAGTCCTGTGTCCAAGTGAGAAATAACTACATGTGGTTTGTATATCAGGGGAGAATTGACAACGGGTGGTATGTATACTAAAATGTTTATCGTCTTCCATTATACATGACGTTGTGGATGAAAATTATTGACAAAAGAATAAAGAAAACAGAAAATAATCAGACAAATACATAGAAAAGAAAATGATGAGGTTCTAGAATACATGGAATAAAGAATGATCGGCAAAAGGTATAACGAATAGAAAAAATTGCCTAAAATGATAGAATACAGAAATAATGAATCCCGATTCAGACCATCACAATCTGACGATGACATTTAGCTTTAGGGCAATTATGGGCAAACGACCAACAACACAGTGTTTTTTTTTTTTATGATAGTTCACATACAAGCTAATTTTTACAAAATCAACTTGAATATGTAGTAAAAACTATATCTATATCTTCATGTGTTGAATTTTAAAGATAAACGGGTTTGAAGTTTTCTCGCTTACTAAAAATTTCGGTTTCTTGAACATTTCTGTCTCCTTAAATTTTGTTTCAAGAGATAAAAATATGCGGATCTCGGTAAAGAGATAAGGAATATCTTCGTTACAAAATTGGACTCTACATTTGTGTAACAATCCTTATCAAAAATCCTTTTTGTTAAAGAAAGAAATTGATTTTAGAAGAAAAAAAAACGGCATTTTTGTTGTTTATTTATCTAGTTGAAAAAAGTCGGTTATTTCTTCATAAAAGTTGGAACGAATAATCTTCATCAGAACCATATAGTAATTGTATGGGTGTATAACGTTTCCACATTTTTAGCAAAAATCCAGTTCACGTTTCCACATTTTCGTGCATTACTTTTCCGAAATAAATAGATACCACTTTTCAGCATTTTTACCTGTGTTTCACCTGTAAAAAATGGTAATAATGATATATCGGTATAAGACTTTATTATCAAATATGGTCATCTCCTCCCGACACAGATACCAAAAGAACCACAACTGGGCCGGAATCGTTTCTCCCAGTTCTATCTATGTCACACAATTATATTTATTTTTATGGACGTTTTGCAGAAGATCCAAACAACAACTTACATCAAAATTCGGTCTTTATCAGCAATAGCATCAGTTCTTAAAAATGATCGCGAACGTGCTGAATTCATATCCGAACAGTGTGTCAAGTATGGTAGAGAATAGAATACGAGGTAGGAATTTATAAAGTCAGTTGGCTACAAGTTTACCGCTTTAAACTGTGCTACATGTACTGTATAATAGTATACTGACGCTTAAAATATATATAAACTTTTAGTGCTGAACATTGACTTTTAATTGATATATGACCATGTGTGATTTTTATCATTTTAAGTTGATACATTTGTAGTTTCATTTAAGTCATAAAGACTTATCCTGCTCGAAGTCCTACTTCCACCCAGTTGGTGAGTAAAAAGGGGGGGGGGGGGTACATTAAAAATTTAAATGCGGAAACGTAAATAACCTTTAATAAGATCAATGTAAAACAATGCGGAAAAGAGTACTATAAAAATGCGGAAACGTATTGCCAAAATGCGGAAACGTAAAACGCCGAATTGTTTTAAATGTCTCTGTCTTCAAACAGTATCATGCCAAACGCCATTTTTAAAAAGAGGGGGTCCATGTTCTCGTTTTTAAGCTAATGGTTAAATCTCGAAAAGATGCATTTTTTCCCGATATTTCACAGTTTGACGTCGCGAAAAATAACATTTTACGGAAGCAAATAATCAATTAATGTGTCGATAAAAAGAACGAATTATGTTCTTATTCAATACTTCAAACTAACATAAATCATTTATAAAGAAAACTCAACACCGCCCCGACAGCACAGAAAAGTTGAAGAACAAAATCTTTACAGTATTACATATCATATATACTATTTACTACAAAACATACTATGTACTTTCCTATGAAGTCTTGAAAGGGTGGGTGGGTGGGAAACGATACTGTACTGTCGGATAGGCGAACCTCGAATGACAATTCTAGACTATAATACTATAATTTAGCGCTTAAATTCTAGCATGAAGTTATCATGATTAATATTACCTAAACCGGTAATAACTTACTGTTTGTCCAATCAAATTAAACATGTTTTGATTTGAACACACGTGCTTAAAGTAAATAAATACACGTGTCCCCGAGTAACCTTTATAAATACATTTCTACAATATATAAAATTCTGTCAAAAATCATTTCCTGGGTCAATATTATAAAGTTCATCCGAAAAAGTGATAAAACTGATAATAACATACTAATTCAAATACATACTGTTCGAAATAATCTAACCGAAAGATAAATCTGTAATTTTACTTTGTCCATAATTTCGACGAACCAAATTAAAGCGAGTAATACTTCGACCTGTTTTTAAATCAGATTGGTTTTGAATGTTTCTCTCGTATATTCAATATGTATATACATGTATATATTCTAAATTGAGACTATCTATTATTATTATAGTTCCATAACATTCTTTCAAGGCGTATAAACCAATGATCGACAAGTGCGTACATTTTGTGAAATCATTTATAATGTGTATGTTTCAAATGTCCATATCTATTGACAACGAGTATATGCCCTTGGAAAATATGTAAATAGATTTTTATTTTATCAGATCTTTTTGGGGGAATTATTAAGATTTTCATAAATATCATTCTTAACACCAGAAACGTTATTTATAAACAAGCGTATAAGTAATGACTATAGTATATCACCAGAGACGTATTATATGTCTCTGATATCACTATCAGACACGCAAGACAAAGATGTATATTACACCTGATATTTTCAAAATGGAAAGTTACAAGTTATCGGCCGTGTACACTGATCAATACCCTCAGAGGTCAAGTGATGCACCAACTTGCTTTATGTAATTGTGTAATAAGAGTTTTAAAGTCCGACAGGAAATCGCTTGAATACCTGGACGTGTCACCTCACAATACATCTGGGAACAATTTCTTCAGCCATGCTGTTGATCAGATGAGGGAAGATCCGAATTTATTTAAAGAAGTTTACAAAACCGTTTTGCATAGAGAAATTATGAACAAACTAGACTTTCGAAAACATTTCTACACGGAACACTTCTTTATGACTTTGAACTTTGACTTTTTAACTAATTTCCATTAATATGACTTTTTTCAAAAACTTAATAAAAAATTAGTTTCAAAACGATTCCTTATTTAAAATTTAAAAAATATGTTATTATTTTAATGTGGCACGCGCTCTTCTTGTGTAATGTCTAATCACCTTGTTAATTGATCCAATAAATTTTTAAGAAATAACTTCAAACTAAAAAAAAATAATTATTGTGTTTTCGTAATTAGAAGAGATAAAGAGGTATTGATCTTAAAGTCATATGAAACCTCAAATTAAAAAATATGCATATGTTTTTTATAACAAAATAGATAGTTGTCATTATTAAACTTATGTACAAGTGTTATAAATCCCGACATCCCGAAATTCGAAAAAAAACCTTGACCGTTCAAAATCCATTTCGTATACTGATTAAACACCCGATCCTATTATATTAGCTGCTACTATAAGGATTCTATTAGTGATGTTAGCCTGCTAGTAGCACTAACAAAGTCAGACTTTCATACTGTACAGTACAGATGTTACCACTGGTAGCACTAACAAAAGACAGAGACCAGTTCCGGAGATGCAAAACTCTCACGTAGCCGTCTCAAAACTTACTCTTACACGTGTTAAACGTTACAGCCACCATACTTCTATTTTAGTTATTAACTTTTAACTTCTATTTCGATCGCTATGGTTTTGATTCGTAAAAGAAAAGTGTTTGTGTCTGCTAGATTGCATTCGGCTGGGAAACGTTCTAGAAAGGTTGTCTTTTCTCGCCAATTTCGTGGTGTGAAAGCTGCTGATGGAGAAGTTTCTGACCTTCAGCATTATGCAAAGTCATTGCCGTTTGGTAAAACTTCGACTTCTGATTCTTCTCTAACCCTGACTTGCTCTTCGGCAATGGAAGAAACTACGAATGAAATTAAACCTGATGCTGAATCTGGTAAGTAAAAAGGGTAATCATAATTTGATTTATCAACTTAAAAACTGTTTTCATTATGTATAATGGCGGATTCAAGGGTATTCGGTTGAAAGGTCTTGCGGTTAGAACACCCTATTTTGTTTGACAACTCATACATTTGTATTGAGACATAGGTTTGGAACACCCTTTGTATGTATGATTTTAATATGTATGACTGCCCCCCCCCCCTTTTTTTACAAATGGCTAAATTTGCCCTAGGCCTTTTCTTTCCCTTTTATCTTAATCCTTTAGACCTACTTTCAAAGTTATCCCTGGGATTTATTTTTATCACACTCACATTTGTCTTGAGATTCATGCGATATTTCCCATTTAACAATGCTTTTTTTTTGGGGGGGGGGGCCAGTATGCCCTCCAAATGCATTGCAGTATAACCAGTTTTTCAAGTCGTTGAATGTTGCTTTTATCTGGCAGAATTTAAAACATTTCTTTAATTTACATCTAATCATGATTAATAAAAATGTATTTCTTATAATTTTAATCATTTGGACTAAATCAATTAGATACAAACCACTGAAATGTAAGAAAATAACTTTTAATAGACCGAGCAATCTATACGATGTCTGGTAGTCGCGGTACTGAAAATAGTTTACCTGAACACGTAGATTTCAGCTGTCCAACAACTAATAAGCCTTGATTAAAATTAGAAAGTATTGAATTAAGGGTTGTTTTGATAGAAATTAATCATCATGTTACTTTTATGACCGGAATGTGTGGCTGTTAAAGGCAAAAGGTTGGGTCAAAAAGATGATGAATTATGTTAAAATGACCGTCTCTTAAGAAAGCCTTGAAAACTAAGAAGTAGATGACCGTTTCATGCTTTGCCCAGCCAGACTTTTACCGGACATTATACAATTGTCTGGAATATATGACCGCTTTGGAAGCCTTAATTGATCTGAACAATTATATTGTTATTGGATTAAATATATTTATTGACTAATGCAAAACTTAGTGTACAACAGCACAAAAAAAAAACCTGAATAAATATTTCTGATAACTGATATTCTCAATCAGTATGATGTCAAATGACTCATCTTCAAATATGTTTGTATTGCAAGTAAAATCAAAATTCTTGAATGTTATACAAATTAAGAAACAAACATGCTTGTAAATTAATTCTGTTAATCTGTGTAAGTCATATATTTTTTTTTTAAACTTTACTCTGGTGTTATTTTTAGGTATCACACATCTACAAATCTCTAATAACAGAGACTTTCAGTGAATTCAGGAATTTCTTCCAAAGAACTGAATTTCCAGAGAACTTGGATAACGGAACTGAATGTCCAGCTTGTTTTACAGTAAGATTTTGTTTTATTTGAATTAAACTATGCAGATTTTTATGCCCCCGCCATAGCGGTGGGGGCATTAAGTTTTACCCTTGTCTGTACGTACGTACGTACGTACGTACGTCCGTACGTCCCAAAATTGGTTTCCGTTCTCTAACTTGAGTTTGCCTCTACCAAATGTTATTAAACTTATACACAATGCTTATTACCACAAAACACAGATCAAGTTTGAATTTTGGTGGCGTCACTTTAACCATTCTAGAGTTATGCCCCTTTATAAATGGAAAAATTCCTAAATTTCTAGTCTCCATTCTGTAACTTAAGTTTGCCTCAACCAAATGTTATGAAACTTATACATAATGCTTATTACCACAAAACACAGATCAAGTTTGAATTTTGGTGGCGTCACTTTAACCGTTCTAGTTTTATTTATAATATCTGATTATCTGATAAAAAAACTTTGAAATAAATGTCTCTTGCATCCAGGTAGAAAAATATAGGAAAGTTATTTATGTGTAGGTTAAAAAATTACTATTAATAATTTACATATACCACTAGATATACATGATTATAGAAATGATATGGACTTATAAAGTGCTAAAAAAAACTTCAAAAATTTGTTTTGCCTAACCAAAAAGCAGTTATTGTATCTAAAAGTCAACCAAGGCTATTTTTGAGCTTTAAAAAGGGCTAGTAGGTTAATAGGAAACTCACCTTTTTTTTTATTTAGGCTTAGTGACAACAACTAAGTAAGTTTATTAACATAGGTTTAATATTAAAGAAATCAGATTTATATTTAAAAACTTGTTTGCATTGTATTTTTGAATTATTTTTATATAATTGTACATATCTTTCTAGAACAAATACAAATTGAGTCACAAATTATGCTGAATGTTGTATATTTTCAGACTCTGCCAAAAATATACAGTTTTGATGCTGATTTCCAGCTGGTTCGGAAAGCTTCATCTGGAAAACAATGGGAAGAGCCAAAACACTGTAATAAATTTTTCTTAGACCAGACTCTTGTAGATGGGTTTATTGACAACTATTATGAAGACAGAGGAAAGCCTGATGTGGTAAATAGTTCTTTTTAAAGTATATTGATTTATTTGTTGTGAATGTTAAAGCTTATGAAATAAACGATTGGGTAACTTTGAAAAATATATATATTAAAAAAAAACTCTTTAGTGTGTGTAAACCAATATATATACATATATAAGGTATAAAAGAAATATTTTTTTGTCTAGAAACTAAAGTTTACTTATGAATTTATTTATTTTTTAAATTTTTAGATAGTACAGGAAGCTTTTTTTTAGAAAGCAAACTTGTCTCCACTGTCTTATAAATTATCAGCTGGTTACCAGTAATTACATAATTTTCATGAAACTGCTTTCAAATTAGTTAAATTGCTTTTAAATATTTTAAAATTCTGTAACTTTCCAAACATATTGAAATATAAATCCTGAAAATAAGTTTAAACTACACTAAAGTTTTCTAGTTTGCTAACAATTTCATAATTGTCACTATCATAAATTTTAAATCTTATTAGACTGATATTTGGAATCTTCAATATGGTTACAATCAAGGAGAAATATTCTTTTAAAGTATGTGTTACTTTAAATACCTTGAGCAACAACCAGTGCTTGTAATAATATTTTGCCTAGTAATAACTATTCTTTACAGAATATCGAATTTTTCTTTTTTTTGTAGGAGTGTAATGACTTTCAGGCGGGAAATAAATTAAGATCTAAGAATAAGAATAAGAAACTATCTGAAACAGCTGTATTTGGTTCCACATGCAGACATGAATTTCCCAAGTATTTCTTTAGTCTGAAACATGGTGAAAGGTATTGAACTATTATTTGAGTTTATTGGTAACAAATATTTGCTTGAAAGGATTAAATCTGCTAATAAAAATCACATAGAGAAGAGAGAAAACTGACCTTTGAATTGAGGTTGAAACTGCATAGGTATTGAAACAGTGGTAGAGGAAAAGATTGACCTTACAAAAAATGTTTTTTGCTGAATGTGATTGACATTAACAGTATGTTTGACTGTAGATGTATTATAAAACCACCACCTGTCCTCAGGTGTTAGTAATATTTTGGTCATTATTTTCTCAGGTTTTCTGGAAAAAATCTATTCACCAATACTTTTAGAGTTTCCAATATGTTGAATGCAATTTATATTGATCTCAGAGCTGGTTTCAACATTAAAGAAATATTTGTCTTTTAAGTTAAAGACAAACTGACAACTACATTACAAATTATAAGATAGAAAACTTCATCAAAACAGAATTACTTCATATCTGGTCTTCAGCTTTTCACAAATTCACAACACACATATGAAAACAAAAACAAAGGAACAGTAGTTTTTTATGCCTAACCTAATTTCTACTTTCAGGATAATAACTTTTGTATAAGTATTTCAATTGCTCTGAAAATATACCACAATGATTAATACCACAAGTAGAAGGTTTGGATTCATTTTGGGGGTTATGGTGCCAACAGTTTAGGAATAAAGGGCCAAAAACAAGCAATTTTGTAGTTTCTGGCCAATATCTTGTGTGTAAGTGTATGGATCTCTCTGACATTGTACCACAAGGTTCTATCCATATCACAAAAGGAAGGCTGGGATTGAGTTTGGGGGTAATTGCCCAATTCATGCAGGAATTAGGGTCCAAAAGGGCCAAAAACAAGCATTTTTCTAGTTTCCAGACAATAACTTGTGTTTAAGAGTATGGATCTCTCTGAAATTGTACTACAAGGTTCCATACTACAAAGGAATGGCTGGGATTGGGTGTGGGGGTAATTGCTCAAAGGGGGGATTCAAAAAGTTTGGGGGGTTCCAATTTTTTTAAGGGGTTCAAATTTTTTTTTTCAAAATTTTTCAAATTTCAAATTTTTGAAAAATTTCAAGAAGAATCTTTAATTGCACAGTATTGCGCAATAGATTTGTAAGATCTTGACATTTATTTTGTGTCAGAAACCTATACTATGTCAAAAATTTGATCACAATCCAAATTCAGACAGTATCAAGCTTGAATATTGTGTCCAAATTTGCCCCAGCTGTTCAGGGTTCAACCTCTGTGGTCGTATCAGGCTGTGCTCAGCGAAGCAATTTATTAATGAATAAAATTATTTTGTTATTTTTCTTTGTCCTTCAAAATATAAAATTGATCAGTTATTTGCATTATTAACCTTTTAGACTAGGATATTCAGTTTACTTGCTTCGAAAGCTACTAGAGGAAGAAAGAAGTGATGACAAGGATCAACTGTATATTATGTATGACATTGCATGCAGTCTTGAAAGTCATCTCAAGGTATTTATAGTTGAAAGGATATTTCTATAACCATTATAACCATTAAATAATTTAAACCTAATTAGAAAAAATAAGAATTACATTTCAAAACTATGCAATATGTAGCATATTCGGCCTCTCATACATATATATCTCGAATATCACTTATCTGTAAATGCTGTAATTTTAGCTATGCAAATGAGCCTTGTTGACGTCAAATCGTCTATTACATAACTCGTACAATATTGAGAACCAAATTTGACCCATTCCAGTTTTTAGTTTCTGGATAAAAAAACTTATATTTGACTACATGTAGGGTTCTACCAAAGGTTGTACTACCATACACTCCGTTGAAAATATCTCAAATTCCAATTAAAATTTTTCAAATAATTTTAAAAATCGGCAGATGTTGACTTAAACCGGTGATAAATTTGATATCTATGTTCATATCTATAGATATGGATATTTTAACACCCTTCGGCTTTGATTCATGGTATACTTGGATATTTCAGGGTGTTTACTTGCAATAACATTTAAAGCCAAAAAAAATGTAAAAAATGTCATCAAGCATTCTAAACTGATATTAATAACATACTTTCAGCCTCATAAATGTCTTATAAAGCATGTCTTTATTTTTATCAGTACCAAATTTGATTTGATGTTCCTTCTTTTTCAGAAACAGAATGATCAATCCATACTAGATAAAACTCAGTTTTCAATTCCGATCTTTCATTGTTATGGCCATAAAATGGCATGTCAGGTAATATATATCCTATACCATATTACCTAATGTTAATCACTCATGTTAACTGTTTCTTTATACATATCTACAAGATTTTATGAACACTCATTTCCCAATTAAATCATAGTTAAAGAAAATTTGTTTATACTGTTCATTTGTTATTTGTCCACTTTTTTAGCTCACCTGGTCCAAAGGGCCAAGTCAGCTTTTCTCATCACTTGGCGTCCGTCTCCGTCGTCCGTCTCCGTCGTCGTTAGCTTGTTACAAAAATCTCCTCTGAAACCACTAGGCCAAATTTATCCAAACTTAGCCACAATCATCATTAGGGTATCTAGTTTAAAAAACGTGTCCGATGACCCTGCCAACCAACCAAGATGGCCACCATGGCTAAAAATAGAACATTGGGGTAAAATGTAGATTTTGGCTTATATCTCTGAAACCAAAGCATTTAGAGTAAATCTGACATAGGGTAAAACTGATTATTAGGTCAAGATCTATCTGCCCTGAAATTTTCAGACAAATCTGACAACCTGTTGTTGGGTTGATGCCCCTGAATTGGTAACTTTAAGGAAATTTTGCAGTTTTTGGTTATTATCTTGAATATTATTATAATTAGAGATAAACTGTAAACAGCAATAATGTTCAGCAAAGTAAGATCTACAAATAAGTCGTATGACCAAAATTGTCAGTTGACCCTTTTAGGAGTTATTGCCCTTTATAGTCAATTTTTAACAATTTTTCGTAAATTTTTGTAATCTTCTACAAAAATCTTCTTCTCTGAAACTACTGAGACAAATTTATTCATACTTGGCCATAATCATTATTTGGGTATTTAGTTTAAAAAATTTGTCCGATGACCCGCCTTCCAACCATCATGGCCGACTTGGTTAAAAATAGAACATAAGGGTAAAAATGCAGTTTTTGGTTTATATCTCTGAAACTGAAGCATTTAGAGCAAATCTGACAGGTGGCAAAAATGTTCATCAGATTTAGATTTATGTGCCTTGAAATTTTCAGACGAATCTGACAACCCGTTATTGGGTTGCTGCCCCTGAGTTAGTAATTTTACAGAAATTTTGCAGTTTTTTGTTATTATCTTAGATATCATTATAATATCTAATATCTAATACTATTAATTATGATTTTAACCTTTTTTTACATTATTTCCAAAGCATCAGTAAATACAGGTGAGCGACACAGGCTCTTGAGAGCCTCTAGTTATGGTTGGAACAGGATCATCAGTTTACACATATTGTGAAATTTTAAATGTATTACTACTTTTAGGTTTTGTATAACCCTAGGAAAAAAAACGGAATAGGATTAACAGATGGTGAAAGCCTTGAAAGACTTTGGTCGTATTTGGGGAAATTTTCTAAAATTACTAAGGAGATGACACCAGAAAACCGCATAGATCTTTTAACTGATGGATTAATTCATTATGGACAGAAAATCAGAGAGAAATTAGGTAAGATTTATATTGAGGACCTTGAAACAAAGGTGTGAAGGGATTTACTGTAGAGTTTGACCTTATGTATGGCCAAAAAAAAACCAACACAAATGTACCCAAAATAAAAATCATTCCAATTTAGTGCCTCAATATTGATAATATGAAAAATGTTTTTATAATTATGTTATATTGATATACCTACCTACCTATTCCATATTATACCTGGAGGCACAAAGGACAAGGACTAGATCTTTCCACTCGTCTCTGTTTTGTGCTTACTTTTCTATTTCGCCCCAGCTGATTCATGGTATTAAAAAATTGTCTATCTTCTCATGGTTACATCAATTGCCAATATTGTGCTCTGGTTAACCTCTTGTACATGTATATTGTAATTGTTTTGTGTTGTGCTTATAATATTAACATAAAGAATTACTTTGAAATTGAAAATTATTTTTCTGTTACCGATTTATTACCATGAATATAATACATTGCTTGCATATTTTCTATTTTACATATTATACAGGCCATAGTCTGGTTGCTAAAATAGAGAAAGCAATTGCATTAGAAAAGTCGAGCAATGAGGAATTAGAAGAACTTCTAAAGCCATTTTTAGGTAAATAGTTGATCACTATTTATGTAGAATATGTTTATAATAGTGAAAATTGTGTTTCAAATTAAAAAAAAACCTATTCAAACAGAAAAAAAGTGTGAAAATTGAAAATAATTTATTAATCAGGTATTAAAATTTCAAAACTATTGCTTGGAATAGCAGTACCACCAACTGACTTTTGATTAAAATTGATTATTGGAACATTTTAATAGAATGTGACTTGGTTAAATGTGATGAAGGCCATGTCAACTGTCATCCTTAATTCATTCAAAAAGGGTTCTCTTTATGGGATAGATACAATTTACTACTATTTTTAAGTCTCCCAAACTTCGAAGACTTATTGTTTTTGCTCAGTTCTTATTATTATTATTATTATTCTTCTTCTTCTTCTTCCGCCGCTTTTAAATTTGAACTTGTCTGCACCTGTTCTCCAAAACCTCTTGTCAGATTAACTTAGGGTTTTACAATATGTTAGACTAACATGTCTAGTGGTGCAATCAGGGTTTTGTTTGTGCAATGGGGTTTACAAAGGGGTACTTTGAGGGGCAAAAAGAAAGGAGGGTTTTACTATAGAACCCTATGGGATTTTATTTTTTAAAATGATTATAAATTGAAAACTGTTTGTGATAGACACAATCTTTTTAATTGAAAATGTTCTAAATGATAAAGCACATTAAATGAAATACAGGGTTAGTCCCCAGGGGTCACCCCCACCCCCTGCCATTTAAGAAAGTTCTAATACCTTGTAAGTGGTAAAGATCCCCACCCCTAAACCATATATATTCTGGTTTGTCATGCTTAGATGGTTTGAATGATAAACAGGGTTAGTCCCCAGGGGTCATCCCGACCCCTTGCCATTTGAGAAAGTTCTAATATCTTGTAAATGGTCGAGATCCCCACCCATAAACTATATATATTCTGGTTTGTCATGATAAAGCACATCAAATGAAGTACAGGGTTAGTCCCCAGGGGTCACCACCACCCCCTGCAATTGAAGAAAGTTCTAATACTTGTAAGTGGTCAAGACCCCCACCCCTAAACCATATATATTCTGGTTTGTAATGCTTAGATGGTTTGAATGATATACAGGGTTAGTCCCCAGAGGTCATCCTGACCCCCTGCCATTTGAGAAAGTTCTAATATCTTGTAAATGGTCGAGATCCCCACCCCTAAACCATATATATTCTGGTTTGTCATGATAAAGCACATCAAATGAAATACAGGGTTAGTCCCCAGGGGTCACCCCTCAACCCCTGCCATTTAAGAAAGTTCTAATATCTTGTAAGTGGTCAAGATCCCCACCCCTAAACCATATATATTCTGGTTTGTCATGTTAAGATGGTTTGAATGATATACAGGGTTAGTCCCCAGGGGTCATCCCAACCCCCTGCTATTTGAGAAAGTTCTAATATCTTGTAAATGGTCGAGATCCCCACCCCTAAATCATATATATTCTGGTTTGTCATTATAAAGCACATCAAATGAAATACAAGGTTAGTCCCCAGGGGTCACCCCACCCCCTGCCATTTAAGAAAGTTCTAATATCTTGTAAGTGGTCGAGATCCCCACCCTAAACCATATATATTCTGGTTTGTCATGCCAAGATGATTTGAAGTATAAACAGGGTTAGTCCCCAGGCATCACTAATGCATATATAACTTTACTGGACCAAACCAATTTTCACTGGACTTTGCCCAATGTCAGGCGACTCTGGGAATTACGAATTATGGGAGCTTCGTTTGGGAGACTTCGTAACAGCATCCTGTTACAATCATTTTTTCTTGTCAATAAAATGTTTGGAATTAGCCTGAAAGTAAAACTTTAAGTCTGGTTAAGATCTTGATTCATTTCCACAACTGCTGTTAATGTTTAAAATATATAACTGTATGATTAATCAGGTAATTGCTGAATTGATTACCTAATTAAATGATGAATGCATATTAAGAATTGTTTAAAACCATAAAAGTATTTAATTGTAGGTATTTCAGAGGAGGTTGTCTTGAGTTGGATTGAAGACGAAAAGGTCATGGTTACCTCGTCTCAGAATGAGTCAGCATGTAAGTGCTTTATATAATTTTTGAATAAAAATGTAACTGTATTTGAAATATTAGAAACCTAACACTCAGTGTAATATATAGATGCCTACCTGTGTTAAAATGAGCATAAAGCCGGACATTAAGGAATTATTTCTTTAATTGATAAATCAATGTTATTTGAATGCAAGTTCATTAGAATCTATGTTTATCATTGTAACATGTCTAATGAAATATTTATATAAGCTTACACATTTACATTGATATCATTACAGTGTGATAACATGAATTTTGGTGGATATTGCCAAAGAATAATTTTTATAGTTTTATGGAAATATTAAGTTACTCTACAACAATAGAATTTGTCTCATCAATTATTTAATATCATAGCAATTGGTTTATTTATTGCAGTTACCTTAACGCCGAAGGAACAGTACTCTTTGGAATTGGAAAAAATGGATGATTTGAGGTATATATATTTTACTCCAATGTAATATTAAATGAGATAATATTCTAAAGACCATGGATTTTTAATTTGTCGGTTAACAATTACTATTATATTTGTTTAATATTTTTCAAAAATGCCTAATAACCTCTTTTTGAAAATTTTTATAGCTGGTCATTGGTCATAAAGTTTTCAAATGATTGTATTGATTAAATACAAATTAAGTACTGTCCACATCATCTTTATATCTTGTATCAATCAGACACCTGCATTTGTTCAAATAAAACTAATAATTATTGAAATATTGATAAATTTAGTTGCTACCATAAACCATAAAATTTAATTAAGTTACAGAACTGTATAATGTATGTGTTATAACACATGTATTGCTATTTTAAATTCAATCTTTGCATCATACTTTTAAATTTACAACTAGACCAGATATATCTCTGTGACAACTGAACCCAACTTGTATGTTACTTGTTACTAATAAAGTATTAAATAGGAAATTATCTTCAATTTCAGGAAAAGGGTTCCTCTTACAAAACTAGAAGATGATCCAACATACACAAAGTAAGTAAACCTTTATGTATTATTCAAATGAAGTTTATGGCAATATTAAGTTATTCTCATGCTTTGAAAGTTCAAGTGTATGCATGTTTGATCACATACCTGTTATATTCCTTACTGGTGATGTTTTTCAATACAAAATAACAGATATCAGTCAGTTAATGTTTTTAATTTGCACAACATAACACATAGAAAATAGATGTATTATACGAAATTTAGACAGAATATGATTATATTGCCTTACCATGCAGAGTCAGAGTGATTTACTTCAGTATGCTATTCATATAAGATACAAGAGAGATGTTAATATAGTATTGGAATTAACACCAATACAATTATTTGATTTGATTTGAACAATTTTACACACATCTGAATTCCTTTATAATTTTTTAAAAACAGATCATGAAACTTTGTATATTGTTAAATTATAACTGTTCCCAAGCAGTCAGTTTAGATAACATCTGTTACTTTGACTTAGTTTTTAAAAAAAGTAAATGATCATTCTGTTTAGGTTGAACTCATCTGTCCAAAAGATGGAGCGAAAATTGAAAGAAAAATGGGATGTAACAGCTGATGTGTATGTATCAAATTTGGCTGCAGCCAAGGAGAAAAGTAGAAATGTGGTATTGCTGAGATTGGGAGGATATGTTTCAGAAAGACATTTTCTGCTGGAGTTAGTGAAGAAATATGCCAGTTTGTATATTAGTTTGTTTAATGGTCTTAAAATTCAGTATTTTTTTATGTTCATTCATGAGTGTGTGAAGCAAATTGATTTAAGTTTGCGTGTCTGTACATTTCATCCTATTGTGTATCTACAATTATATAACACACTTTAAGAACAATAGTTACATTGGTCTACATTTCAAACTTAGATGACTTTTGAAAAAGTGTATTGGTTAAGTAAATTTTCAGTATAACTTCTGGTACATGAATATTTTTGATTATTTTGTATAAGAGAACATAGTTCTGCCATTCTTAAGTTTCATGCTTAAGTAACATTAATAAAAAAAATCTTTATAGTTTATTTATCAAATAATCCTAATGTTACATTAATTATAAATATCCCCTTTTTATTTCATGTTTTTAGTTTTTAGTTTATTTATTTTTTATTTTTTGCTTTTTTTTTTACTCATGTACTTGTTTTGTTATTTCAGGGGGGCAAAGCATTGCCATCAGACTTTGCAGGCAATTGAAAAAGACTGGCATCAAAATTCACAAGTCAATTAAAGAATACAATGACATCGGAGGTCCAACAACAACCCTTCCATTGAATATTCTATTCAATGAGATCAAAGATCGCAATGGGGATATTTGGAAGACAGTACATCTTGAAGATAGTGGTGAAGTTCCGCATGAAATAAAACAACAAGCAATCAACGCAAGATCACTGATTGAGCGATCTATTGAGGAGCAAAGTCTGGTAAAACAAGAGATGAATTCCACTATTAATTGGTATTTCTTGCAACATTCAACGTTATTAGAAGCATTCCATAATACCTTGGGCGGTAAAAGAGCATGCATTGTCAAGGAAGGTCTTTACATTGAAACAAAGTTATCATATTTGGAAAGCTGTTTCAAATTATACATCAACAATGAAGTTAACAATCCAAATGATTTCTTTGAAATGATAGAAATGAGTGAACACAGCAGGGGTCAGGACTTTGGGAATTTACAAAGAGATGGAAATCACATTGAAACCAATTGGAATTATAGTGAAGACGAGGATGAAGATGATGAAAATGATGACGATGACGATGATGATGAAGATGATGATGATTATGAGGAGGAGGAATTAGAGGGAGTTAGCAATGACACATTAATTGTTTAATTTGACATTTGTTCATAAATCTATTATTAAGCAATATTTGATAAAAAGTAGATATTTTCAAATGAAATATGTTTTATAATAGTACTAAAATCAATATTAAGGCAAGTTTGAAAAAAAATGGATGTCTTTTTACTTTTTGAGAAAAAACATCATTTAGCATATGACACTTGATTTGCAGAACAGGATGCAACCCTCTGGCACACTGTGAAAAGTCGTAAGGTTGTAAGTCACTGGCGTAGATGGAATAAGCTCGTAAACTTGGCCTGCTGCAAATCAAATTTTGCTCACAGTTTTTTTATTGTTATGAATTTATGTCATTTTATAAGGTACATTATAGATATTCTATGTTTAAAAACTACATTTGAATACATCTAAGTCAATTTTTTTACCATATAAAAGTCAAAATCTCTTATACGGTTAGTTTAAGGGGGGGGACCAATAATTTTCAAGATAGCAGTGAAATTCATTGTGAAATGAAACAACAAGTTATCATTTCAAAATCACTGATTGAATAATCTAAAGAGGAGAAAAGTCTTCATCTAAGTCAGTTTGTGTTTACCTTATAAAAGTTAAAATCTCTGAAAGTTTTAAGGGGACCAATTATTTTCAAGATAATGGTGAAATTCATAATGAAAAAATAAAAATAAATTATCAATGCAAAACCACTGATTGAGGAAAAAAGTCTGTTAAAACAAGAGATGAATTCCACTATTAATTGGTATTTCTTGCAACATTCAATGTTATTAGATGCATTCCATAATATCTTGGGTGGTAAAAGAGCATGTATTGTCAAGGGAGGTTAGTTTTAGGGGGACCCATAATTTTCAAGATAGTTGTGAAATTCATAATGAAATAAAAATAAATTATCAATGCAAACTACTGAGTGAGCGATCTGTTGAGGAAATTACATTGAAACAAAGTTATCATATTTGGAAAGCTGTTTCAAAATATACATCAACAGTGAAGTTAACAATCCAAATGATTTCTTTGAAATGATAGAAATGAGTGAAAATCTCTGATAAGGTTAGTTTTAGGGGGACCCATAATTTTTAAGATAGTGGTGAAATTCATTATGAAAAAATAAAAAAAAATATCACATTTAGAAAGGTGTTTCAAATTATACATTCATCATTGACAGTGAAAATAACACTCCAAATGTTTTCTTCGAAATGATAGAAATGAGTTAAACATTTAAAGTGTGTTTTTTGGGATGTTTTTCAGACTTTACATGTAGTATTTTGGGTAAATTCTACGAAAGATTGACAAATTTGAAAATATGTAAAAAAAATTGCTAGCATATTGAGATCTATTCGCTAATATAAGAAATTTTGTGTAGTCTGCAGAAATGAGTTTTTATGTTTTCTTTGAATGTAAATGATGTTATTTATTGTAATACTATAATACTGATTGGACTGTTATATTTATGAAGCTGTAATTAATAAAAAAAAATATATCTTTTCAAATGACATAAGTTAAGTTATCATAGTTTTACAATGAGGCATCCTCAGGGAAGACTTCTGCATATATATGGCAATTATAATTGCAGACTTAAGTATTCTGCTTTCTGTCCTTCAATCTAATTATTGATTGGTTTCCAGACAACAAGTTATGTTGACAAGGAAAACATATTAGTTTTCAGTTCTGTTTGTAGATTAATTTTGAAATCACAACGTTGATAGAGATTTTCCACTGAAAAAACGGTTTATGGATGATAAGTTACTGTTTTTCTTGGCAGATTTTAACAATGATCATATAAACTCGTAGGTCATAATAATGTTTCAGTACAGAATGACATGTCTCCCTTCTTACTGTTGCCTTGTGAGCTAGCACATTGAAAATCTGACTCAGCATGTTGGTATTGTACAAAGCAAGATCAGTATTCATTTATTATCATATTTTTGTCCTGAATATGCATCTAATTTGCTGCTGGTTGTTAAACACCCATCCATTCATTGTAGATTGGTTTTTTAGAACATAACATGCCTTAAATGACCTCTGCAAGGATTTAACAAATAGCTGAAGTCAACTTAAATAAATACACTAGGATATGACTATTGATAGTCAATAATGTTCTGTCATTGGAAAAGAGTCAACTTGCATTGCTGATGCAAATGTTTTCACAGTAGCTAGAAAATTACTATTAATAGCCTGTAAATAAAATTTATGGGTCATTTGACAGAGGCTGTTATGAATCATGAGTGGCTTACAATTTCTTCCACACAATAAGCATTGGTATTGAGATATTACAGGTGTATGACCCTTAGATAATGTTCATATTACATTGGTATTGATATGTTCGTGGCGTATGACCCTTGGACAATGTTCATATAACATTGGTCTTGCGTTGTTAGAGGTGTATGACCCTTGGACAATGTTCATATTACATTGGTCTTGCGTTGTCAGAGGTGTATGACCCCTAGATAATGTTCATATTACATTGGTCTTCGTTGTTAGAGGTGTATGACCCCTAGATAATGCTCATATTACATCGGTCTCATGTTGTTAGAGGTGTATGACCCCTAGATAATGTTCATATTACAGCATCTCATGTTGTTAGAGGTATATGACCCTAGATAATGTTCATACTACATTGACCCCTAGATAATGTTCATATTACATTGGTCTCAAGTTGTTAGAGGTGTATGACCCTAGATAATGTTCATATTACATTGGTCTCAAGTTGTTATAGGTGTATGACCCCTAGACAATGTTCATATTACATTGGCCTCACGTTGTTAGAGGTATATTACCCTAATTAATGTTCATATTACATTGGTCTTGCGTTGTTAGAGGTATATGACCCTTGGACAATGTTCATATTACATTGGTCTTGCGTTGTTAGAGGTTTATAACCCCTAGACAATGTTCATATTACATCGGCCTCACGTTGTTAGAGGTATATGACGCTAGAAAATGTTCATATTACATTGGTCTTGCGTTGTAAGAGGTGTATGACCCTTGGACAATGTTCATATTACATTGGTCTTGCGTTGTCAGAGGTGTATGACCCCTAGATAATGTTCATATTACATTGGTCTCATGTTGTTAGAGGAATATGACCCTAGATAATGTTCATATTACATTGGTCTTGCGTTGTTATAGGTTTATAACCCCTAGACAATGTTCATATTACATCGGCCTAACGTTGTTAGAGGTATATGACCCTAATTAATGTTCATATTACATTGGTCTTGCGTTGTTATAGGTTTATAACCCCTAGACAATGTTCATATTACATCGGCCTCACGTTGTTAGAGGTGTATGACCCCTCGATAATGTTCATATTACATCGGCCTCACGTTGTTAGAGGTGTATGATCCTTGGACAATGTTCATATTACATTGGTCTTGCGTTGTTAGAGGTGTATGACACCTAGATAATGTTCATATTACTTTGGTCTTGCGTTGTTAGAGGTGTATGACCCCTTGATAATGTTCATATTACATTGGTCTTGCGTTGTTAGAGGTGTATGACCCTAGATAATGTTCATATTACATTGGTTTTGCGTTGTTAGAGGTGTATGACCCCTAGATAATGTTCATATTACATTGGTCTTGCGTTGTTTGAGGTGTATGACCCCTAGATAATGTTCATATTACATTGGTCTCATGTTGTTAGAGGTATATGACCCTAGATAATGTTCATATTACATTGGTCTCATGTTGTTAGAGGAATACGACCCTAGATAATGTTCATATTACATTGGTCTTGCGTTGTTATAGGTTTATAACCCCTAGACAATGTTCATATTACATCGGCCTAACGTTGTTAGAGGTATATGACCCTAATTAATGTTCATATTACATTGGTCTTGCGTTGTTATAGGTTTATAACCCCTAGACAATGTTCATATTACATCGGCCTCGTGTTGTTAGAGGTGTATGACCACTAGATAATGTTCATATTACATTGGTCTTGCGTTGTTAGAGGTTTATAACCCCTAGACAATGTTCATATTACATCGGCCTCACGTTGTTAGAGGTATATGACGCTAGAAAATGTTCATATTACATTGGTCTTGCGTTGTAAGAGGTGTATGGCCCTTGGACAATGTTCATATTACATTGGTCTTGCGTTGTCAGAGGTGTATGACCCCTAGATAATGTTCATATTACATTGGTCTCATGTTGTTAGAGGAATATGACCCTAGATAATGTTCATATTACATTGGTCTTGCGTTGTTATAGGTTTATAACCCCTAGACAATGTTCATATTACATCGGCCTAACGTTGTTAGAGTTATATGACCCTAATTAATGTTCATATTACATTGGTCTTGCGTTGTTATAGGTTTATAACCCCTAGACAATGTTCATATTACATCGGCCTCACGTTGTTAGAGGTGTATGACCCCTAGATAATGTTCATATTACATCGGCCTCACGTTGTTAGAGGTGTATGATCCTTGGACAATGTTCATATTACATTGGTCTTGCGTTGTTAGAGGTGTATGACACCTAGATAATGTTCATATTACTTTGGTCTTGCGTTGTTAGAGGTGTATGACCCCTTGATAATGTTCATATTACATTGGTCTTGCGTTGTTAGAGGTGTATGACCCTAGATAATGTTCATATTACATTGGTTTTGCGTTGTTAGAGGTGTATGACCCCTAGATAATGTTCATATTACATTGGTCTTGCGTTGTTTGAGGTGTATGACCCCTAGATAATGTTCATATTACATTGGTCTCATGTTGTTAGAGGTATATGACCCTAGATAATGTTCATATTACATTGGTCTCATGTTGTTAGAGGAATACGACCCTAGATAATGTTCATATTACATTGGTCTTGCGTTGTTAGAGGTTTATAACCCCTAGACAATGTTCATATTACATCGGCCTAACGTTGTTAGAGGTATATGACCCTAATTAATGTTCATATTACATTGGTCTTGCGTTGTTATAGGTTTATAACCCCTAGACAATGTTCATATTACATCGGCCTCGTGTTGTTAGAGGTGTATGACCACTAGATAATGTTCATATTACATTGGTCTTGCGTTGTTAGAGGTTTATAACCCCTAGACAATGTTCATATTACATCGGCCTAACGTTGTTAGAGGTATATGACCCTAATTAATGTTCATATTACATTGGTCTTGCGTTGTTATAGGTTTATAACCCCTAGACAATGTTCATATTACATCGGCCTCGTGTTGTTAGAGGTGTATGACCACTAGATAATGTTCATATTACATTGGTCTTGCGTTGTTAGAGGTGTTTGACCCCTAGATAATGTTCATATTACATTGGTCTTGCGTTGTTAGAGGTGTATGACCCCTAGATAATGTTCATATTACATTGGTCTTGCGTTGTTTGAGGTGTATGACCCCTAGATAATGATCATATTACATTGGTCTCATGTTGTTAGAGGTATATGACCCTAGATAATGTTCATATTACATTGGTCTCATGTTGTTAGAGGAATACGAACCTAGATAATGTTCATATTACATTGGTCTTGCGTTGTTATAGGTTTATAACCCCTAGACAATGTTCATATTACATCGGCCTAACGTTGTTAGAGGTATATGACCCTAATTAATGTTCATATTACTTTGGTCTTGCGTTGTTAGAGGTGTATGACCCCTTGATAATGTTCATATTACATTGGTCTTGCGTTGTTAGAGGTGTATGACCCTAGATAATGTTCATATTACATTGGTCTTGCGTTGTTAGAGGTGTATGACCCTTGGACAATGTTCATATTACATTGATCTTGCGTTGTTAGAGGTTTATGACCCTAGACCATTTTATATTACATTAGTCTTGCGTTGTTAGAGGTGTATGCATAACACTTGGACAATGTTCATATTACATTGGTCTTGCGTTGTTATAGGTTTATAACCCCTAGACAATGTTCATATTACATCGGCCTCACGTTGTTAGAGGTATATGACCCTAATTAATGTTCATATTACATTGGTCTTGCGTTGTTAGAGGTGTATGACCCCTAGACAATGTTCATATTACATTGGTCTTGCGTTGTTAGAGGTGTATGACCCTTAGATAATGTTCATATTACATTGGTCTTGCGTTGTTAGAGGTGTCTGACCCCTAGATAATGTTCATATTACATTGGCCTCACGTTGTTAGAGGTATATGACCCTAGAAAATGTTCATATTACATCGGCCTCACGTTGTTAGAGGTGTATGATCCTTGGACAATGTTCATATTACATTGGTCTTGCGTTGTTAGAGGTGTATGACACCTAGATAATGTTCATATTACTTTGGTCTTGCGTTGTTAGAGGTGTATGACCCCTAGATAATTTTCATATTACATTGGTCTTGCGTTGTTAGAGGTGTATGACTCCTAGATAATGTTCATATTACATTGGTCTTGCGTTGTTAGAGGTGTATGACCCCTAGATAATGTTAATATTGCATTGGTCTTGATATGTTCGTGGTGCATGAGACCTGTTATCGCTGTCGTGTGACAGTTTTGATCGATTTACTAGGAGCTCTATCACTCTAAGGAAGGTGTCTTGTCTGGATGCATATATCGTTTTTACTATTTGATTGGTTCATATTTACATATGTCATGTTTAAATACCAAACATATAAGCAGAAACATTATATAGTAACATTGGAGTTAATCAAACTTCAATTTAGCAACTTGTTTTTTTTTTGGACGACGATTAGAGAAGCTAAAAATTGGACGTCGATTAGAGAAGCTAAAAATTGGACGTCGATTAGAGAAGCCTAAACTTGGACGTCGAATAGATAGACATAAAATTGACCGTCGATTTTGAATGCTATTTTATTGTGACGTCAGATTTGGACGTCGATTTGAGAAACGGACGTCGATTAGAGACCGGACGTCGATCTGAGTCTTCAATATTTAACTGTTTTATTATTGTTACATTTTAATGTAACCGTAGCCAGTGCTTTTTAATTAACAACAAACAAGAGAACTATGTCAATTTGTACTGCTTAAAGCCTTTAATACGATAACTACACTTAATATTTACATGATAACAATTTTGTTCGCTATGGCAGAGACATATAATACAATATGTCTCTGGCTATGGAGGTTCAGTATATCGTCAAGTTATCGGGTATGTGCATCGGAAATAGTAAGTAAACACATTTCTAAAAATTTAAAAATTCTTCAATCAGTTTTAATTGATGTCTCGAGCTGGCATGTTAGCCAATGTTAGTTGTACTTTGTTAGTTTGTATAGCATGGTTATTTTCCTTAGTTTCTTTTGTTACCTGTTCTGACATCGGAATAGGACTTCTTTTAACTGAGTTTTACTGTGCGTATTTGTGTGTGTTTGTTTAATTCTACAATGGCTAGCAGAGGCTGATTAAGAGGGTTTTTCAGGGGGGCGGTCCCCCCTTTTGTGGGAAAAAAATTTATTGATTATATAGGGAATCACTGAAGCATGACTGGTGTGGGCCCTTTCTTCGGCAGTCAGTGGGCCCCTCTTATGATAGCTGGGGTGACCTATAGCTGTTAATTTCTGTGTCATTTTGGTCTCTTGTGGAGAGTTGTCTCATTGGCAATATTACCACATCATTTTTTATATATAAGGCTGTATGGCAGTTTTTAATGTGTAATGGAAGGTCATTTATGTACAAAACAAACAAAAAAGGACCAAATATTGAGCTCTGTGGAACATTGTAATTTATAAACTTTTTATCAGAAAACTGATTATTTATATCAACTTGCTGTGTTCTATGGCAAGCCGTTCTCGTCAAAACTATGTTTAAACCATTTTTTCGAAAAAATTACAAACTGAGAATTTAAAAAATCACACTGAGATTTAAGAACCTAAAATAACACACTGAGAAATCGAAATTACACACTGAGATTTTAAAATTGCACACTGAGATTTAAAAAAATGAAAAACACACACTGAGAATTTAAAATTACACAATGAGATTTCAAAAATACACACTGAGATTAATATGCAAATTACTAATGAATATGCATGAGATGAATAATTCAACAGATTAATATCTTGGTCTTCCGAACTCTTGTCATTATAATGAATGCGGTTCCTACAACCAACATTCGTAATAAATTTGAAGACTAAACAACTTTTTTTGTGCTAACTCATATTCATAAGATTGTTGCCTATAATTCATATTATTATTAACCGTATAGCGGGATTTTTTTACTTAAAACTGTTTAAACATGGTCCCTTTTCAAAAGTCTTTCAACTGTTATCCTGATTTCGCAAGGTAATCTTTTATATTTGTGTTACGTGTATATGCTAAAATAGGCACTTCAGGAAAAAATTCACTGCATTGTTTGTATTTTTGCAGCTTGTTCCAATGTTTTCTTATAATTTATTTTGTAATGAGAGTAAGTTGGTATTTTTCTTGTTCTATATGACTTTAATAATGTAGCTTTTCTATATGTTGTATTTTGAATGTTTTTGTATAAAACATTTAGCGCCAAATTAAAGGACTAACGAGTTCTGTCCCCTAGTGGTTTCAAGCTTGTAATAGATTCAGATTAAGTATGCTAATTAAATATATGCGCATAAAAAGTGCGCACAAATCTCAGTGTGTAATTTTAAAATCTCAGTGTGTGTTTTTCAGTTTATTTCATCTCAGTGTGTCTTTTTGAAATCTCATTGTGTAATTTTCAATTCTCAGTGTGTAATTTTAATCTATTGTAATCTCAGTGCGTTTTTATGAAATCTCAGTGTGTAATTCTTAATTCTCAGTGTATGTTTTTAGGTTTTTTAATTTCAGTGTGTATTTTTTTCGAAAAATGGTTTAAACATAGTTTTGACGAGAACGGCTTGCCATAGTGTTCTTTCTTTAAATTATGATTTAAAAAATTAACAGTATTGTCTTGGGAACCACAAATTTGAAGTTTTTTACATAAAATTTCATGATTATCAAAAGATTTGATAAAACATTCATCTTAGAAAGAAAGAAACAAATTTCAACTTTATTGATATATTTGTTACAGTTGCTTAAAAATAAACTGTTCACAGAGAATTGACGGATTATACACAGAAATAGCAAAATTGAGAAGAACACTTTAACATTCTGGCAAAATAACATACTGCTTTAACTGTACAATAGTTACCCTAAAAAAATGTAAGAAATAAAAATCCATTTATAAAAAAATATAAACATTGATAGTTCAAAGCATCAATTTCATTTATTTACTTTATTTCCTTTGTGAATTATTTCAACTTGCAAACTGTGTAAACATCTTATCTAAACATAAAACTTATTAATTAATATCATTCTCTGTTTTGCTTTATTCTAGTAAGCAGTTAAAGCTTATTTAGTAAAAAAATAAATTGGTACACAAACATCATTAATATACAGTAACACTAAATTAAATACTCATAACAAATACAAAATTTTTTCTTATAAACACCCATTAAAAATTTTGAATATGATTGAAATTTTTTTTTAAGAAGTACAACATCTTACAGATAATGTCTCTACTGGAACAGTACTTAAGTAGTGTACCTATTTTTGAGGTTTTCTTGGGTGTCTTAAGTATTGAGTATCAAGCAAAATATGGATCCATTAATTTTGCAAATAACAAAGAGGAAAAAATGGAATACAAGCACATTCAGATCTTTACAAAAGTAGAGATTATTAGCCAAAAATAAAACAAACCCCATAACTGAATGAACTATCTATCACTCTCTGCTTAGCATGGACGTATAAATGAAGGTCAATGCCAGAAAATTATTTCATTTTTGTATCAGGCTAAGAAAACTGTGAAAAAACGAGGAACAAATAGGACAAAAACCTATAAAATTTTAATTTTCTTCCCCAAAAGATGAACAGCTTACTGACCCTGGTATAACTTTAAAAACCTGTAAGGGTAACATACCTTATAGCAATCTTATGAAGAGGAGATAAGTCAGCTTATGGGAGATAAATCCTATAAATTGCAGTATAAGTAAATAGGTAATTGACAATATGAAAATGGAAAAGAGTTAATCTATAAAGATGTGTTAGCTTAGGACTATTTATTTTCAGGTTGTAGATATAATAAGCAACCTAACCTCCCTTGTATTCTTCATGCTGCTATTACAAAACTTATTTTATTTAGTAATTAATTCTTTGCTTAAAGACTTATTCTTGGCCCTAGTGCACAATTAATTCAAATTTAAAAAATCGCACCTGCTCTACAACTCAAAAAGATTTTTAAAGTGTAGTGTACTACTATTTAGAGGAAAAACTTGTCTGTTAAGGGGGCTCACGGGTATAAATCATTTTTTTTTAAATATAGAATTTCACTTTTTTTTTCTATAAATAAACTTTATCCTATACTTGATGGAAAAATAAATAAAAATATAGGGTCACTGTTCATTTGAGCTCACAATCTGCTTTCGAAAGAAACATGCATTTTTGTTAAGGTACTTTTTTCCTGTTGAACTAATAGGAGAAAAAATGTAATATCAAAATAAAAAAAACTAAATTACAGAAATCGGTTAAATTTTACAATAGTTTAGTTTGAGTAGTTTATTTGAAAAAAATGATAAAAAATATAGTTCACCGATGAGTTAAAAAAGTTATTTGAATTTTAATGCATAAAAATGGCATTTTTTCACCAAAGGGAGATAATTTGGAGCTTTTTCAATGATATAAACATTTCAAACGTCATAAATAAAATTTGTAATAAAAAAAAATGTTTTAATTTTTGCTGAATTTTTCGTACCCTCAAGCCTTCTTACAACTTGGCTCCAACTTCTGAACTGGATGATAATTCCTACTTTAGTTTATGTATCAGAATTTAAACCAAATTTTGAAGCCTATTAGAAAAATGTAAAATTGAAAAAACAAAAAACTCCATATATAAAAATATACTTGGGGTTCATGGAAAGTCTACCAATCTACATTACCTATTAGCATTAAATGTTATCAGCTTATGTATATATACTATGTGTGTCTCAGTGATACTGGTGAACGGTCTGGTTGTCCACATAAAATTCTGTTTTTGAAGTGGACAAAACTCTAACAAGTAGAGATGATCCAATAAATTATCTCAATTATCAAATTATATTGGAATATCATTCATATTTATAAAAGATGGAAACTGTAGTAAACTTTTTTTTTAGAAAAATTTATATTTATTAAAACAAAAAGGAATATTTAAGAATAATTTTCTTAAATATCTCAGAAAAAAACTCACAAAATTAAGAAAAAGTGCACATTCATTAGTAATAGAAACTGGTAGGTATCTCAACTAATAATATCCTCTTACAAGAGATTTAGTAAATTTTGCACTGGACAAATTGAAGATGAGATACATTTCTTGATTGAATCAATTGTTGTCAATATGATTAAATTAGATCTAAATATAAAATCAATGAAATTAATTCAAATAATTTGAATGAAAACTGTATAAAAATTTTGTAAACCCCAATTCTGAAAAAGAACTTTAATCAATTTGGAATGTATATTGAAGAAGCTTCTAATTCAAGAGAACACCATAATAATTTATCTGATGATAATTTATTTTATTTATTGCAGATGTTATTCAGTATTGTTGAATATGATATTGTCTTATAATATGGATCATGCCTCTATTGCATGTATTGTGTATGAAATTTTTTTCCCAACATATGAAGAGGAACATTTTTTTATAAGTAGCAAATGTTAAAACCCATAACTAAAAGTAAATTCATATATTTTTTATATCTTCTTGAGGTACCCATGTTAATTCGTCACATCCTTCCCATTTGACCAGGGATTCTGTTTTCTGTTTTCTCTTACGGGTTTTCAAGATCTTCTCTATCTTGTAAAGTTCATCTAAGAATAAAAGAAATCATAAAATTATTATCAATAAAAGATAAACATAAATAACACGGCAACAAAGGTTTTAAAAAATGTAATATAACTAAAACTACTTCAAAACAGACAAAATATGTTATCAATAAAAAAAACCAACTAAAACAAGAAAGCAAAAATTCTGTGTATTTTATTATCTGTCCTAAGGACCAGTATTTTTTAAACTTATAGATACCTTGTGAAGGATCCACCAATTCTTGTGTTGCTTCGTCTAATAAAAGTGGACTTAACATTTCTACATCTTCTGCTGACAAGTCTGTACCTATATAAAAATGTAATAAGTTCAATTAATCTTATGTTTATAATGCATCATATTATGATTAGATATATATATATATTGTAATTGAATGTACAAATTAATGTTTGATATTTGCAAATGCTTATAGGGCACGATGCATTTTTGTAATTTCCAACAGTTTTTGTACAAATCTGCATGTCTTACAGATGTTAATTTGCTTCTCAGTCAGATTAAAATCTTTTTCATAACACTTTTGATAATGGATAAATAAAGGATCTAAGAGATCAAAAAGTGATTATTTTTTTTTTACAATTTTACAAATGGCTTATCACTGTACATTTAAAAAATGAAAACAGAGTTTAGTAGGTAAAAACTGTATGGCACTCAAATGGTGGGGGATATTGTTATCTGACAAAAAATTCCAAAACATGACAAACAGAAATCCTTAAGTATGGATCATGTTAAAAAAAAACCAATAAACATTTAATTCTGAACTTTTAGTTTTAAACAAACTTTGCTGATGTTTAACAAATCTTGTTACTTCTTATTATATTATAACCTGATAAGAAGTAACAACATTTTTATAACCTAATAAGAAGTAACCAGAATTTTATTACCTAATAAGAATTGTTAAACATTATAGCAAAATATGTATAAAAATTGAAAAACGAAGTATGATTCCAATAATTACCTTGAAAAACATATGATTAGTTTCCATGGTTTAGGGAAAATTTTATGAATTTCTTACTTTCTTTTATGTAAAGTGTAATCAAAAGATAGAATATTTGATTTTCTCATTTGTATAGTATGTGCATATTACTTTTTGTAATTGCTCATTGTTACAGATTAAATAATGAACTAAAATTGATTACATCAAAAACATTTATTCTGAAATACATAGTTGTTTTATTGGCACTTGTACCCTAGTAGATTTTTCTTACAAACTTTTTAATTAACTGCTTTAGATTTTTAGACATAACTAAAACCTGCATTTGACCACTATGTTCCATTTTGAGTAACAGCTGTCATGTTGTTTGTTTATGGGTAAAAATTCCCAGATACAGTTTATAAGGTAGATGAGCTAAACAGTAAAAGTTTGAAGGTATTTTGAACATAGTTTTTGAGAAGAAGACTCCTGAAATAATGTAAGACAGATGACAACGGACATGAACTTATGGCACAAGTTCACCTGGTCATTTAGGCCAGGTCAGCAAAAAATCACTCTATAAACATATTTTAAAAACAATACCTTCTTGAATTTCCACTGGTTTTTTATTTCTTTTGCATTCAACTGAAAATATATATCATTCATTAGACTAGAAAATGTGTTTTTATACTGAATTGTTTGTAATTGTTAAACACTTTTGTAATTTATCACTGATGCTGTTATAGTTGTATATGTTAAATGTATAAGCTGTATTGAATAAAAGACTATTATTATTACCCAATTCAAAGTAGGTTTTTAATTTTGTGTAAAACTTATAATTCCATTGTAGACATTGCTTTTAATCAGACAACACACATTACTTAGGGATCATAGATTTATTCTTATGAGGAAGCTCCGAGCATGCTCGGAGGATGCTCGGAGCTTTTTAAGTAGGCTCTTCTCAGCAGTTTATGTGACAATAATTATCATGATCCATTAAGATGTCAATCAAATCTACACCACTTCTATGATAAGGAAAGTAAAGCATTATAGAGGAAGCTCAATTAACACCTGTGTAAACATCTGGTCTATTTAAATACATTTTGCATGAAATTTTACAAAATTATAAAATAGATTAGAAATTCTTCAACAGAACTGTGTAATGCTTGGAAATAAATCTCAAGTCTCCACAAAAAGTAAAAGTGATTTAAATAATTACTTATTATATTTAATAATAATTCCTTTTTTTTATATTAAAAAAACTCTCAAATTTTATAATTAGATGATATGATTTAAATATAGTTTATATTATATAATATGATACATAAAAGTTATCTAGACACAAACAACAGTCAGGGGGTGATACTAAACAAGTTATTTTTTTTTTTTTTTTTTTGGTTACTTATATATAGGTATTTTTTGTTTTTAAAAATTATTTGATAACTCAATAGTTATTTTAAATGTCAAAAGAAGCATGGACTAAATGTAGGTTTTTAAGAATTTTAATATCATTTCATTAAATACAATTAAGTATTTGTCCAATTTGAGATGAGTATAGAGAGGTTACTTTAAAAATAATGACAAAAATATTACTTTTATAAATTATTTTATACATCTTTGAAAGACTTAGTACTTACAATTATTTAAGGAACATATGTAATTGTTTTTGATTAAGATTACAAATTATAAATAACTTCAAGTCTTTATTAAATCACAAGGTTCCATCTATTTATATATGTCTATCTCTAAGATTTTCAGGGAAAATGACATTTTGATAGCCCCAAGAGACCAATCTTTGACCAAGAAGTGTGGCATCAGAAAGGCAATTAGTGTTTCAGGAGGATTTAAATAGTTTTATATTTTAAGAGGAAAACAAACCAGATGTCTGTAAAAATTTGTTAAAGCTAGTAAAACCTGTATGAATGAACCTATAAAAATAATATTAACAGAAGTTACTTATATTCATGATATAGAAGTAATATTTGAATATATTTCAACATAACTTGTATAGGTAATTTTGAAAATTACTTGTTTAAGTAATGGCTCTAACTAAACAATGATAATATGTTTTTTTATAAAATAGCAAACTTAGTTCTTTTATAGAAAATATGGCTACTTTAGGAAAAGTTGAGGGGGTAATTCCACTATTGTTTTCCCTCTGGTACGTCTCTCTTTAATTGGCATTTTTATAAATTGTGCGGATTTGGCTTTGTTTTAAATAAAGAAATACTTGGCATGAGTAAAGTTTTATCCTGTCCTGTACTTTAGAGAAAATCTGACATAAAATTGTTTTTCCCTTATCAGTCTTTGTTTAATTGGTATTTAAAAAAAAAATGTACAGAATTTATCTATGTTTTAAATAAAGAATAACTTGACATGAGTAAAGTTTTATCCTGTCCTGTACTTTAGAGAAAATCTGACATAAAATTGTTTTTCCCTTATCAGTCTTTGTTTAATTGGTATTTAAAAAAAAATGTACAGAATTTATCTATGTTTTAAATAAAGAATTACTTGACATGAGTAAAGTTTTATACTGTCCTGTACTATAGTAACAATACAACATAACTTTTCAGTGCATATAAGAAAGTAAACATCACCAAATTCTCTCCCCCTTTTTTTTAACTGTTTACAAGCTTTAGTAGCCATGTACCCTAAAATTTCCAAAATATTTATAGAACACCAAATAATTTTTTTTTATTGCTTTGAAACACCCAAGATACATGTTTACGTCTCAAAAACACTTTTCTGCAATGAAATGGAGGGTTAATTTCCAACAACTGTCAAATTAAATGGAAGATAAAAAAAAATCAACCCTTTTTCGCATGAAACTGAATGTACTATGTTTTGGTAGTATGGTTATAAATCAATAACCATAGTTTGTCTTTGATAACTTTTGTAGTATAGATTTAAAATATATTTATATTTTAAATATCAAATTTGATTATTTTTTTTGTATTGAAAAAGATTGATAATTATTAAGAAAATGTTTTAAAAACATTTTCTTTCTGTGAGGACTTGATCATTCTTTCCAAGCATTGTACAGTACTATTAAAGAATTTCTCATCTATTTTATAGTTTTGTAAAATTTCATGCAAAATGTATTTGAATAGACCAGATGTTTACACAGGTGTTAATTGAGCTTCCTCTATAATGCTCTACTTTCCTTATTATAGAAGTGCTATAAATTTGATTGACATTTTAATGGATCATGATAATTATTGTCACATAAACTGCTGAGAAGAGCCTACTTAAAAAGCTCCGAGCATCCTCCGAGCATGCTCGGAGCTTCCTCATAAGAATAAATCTATGATCCCTTATAATCAGTCAGAAGTATAGTTTACGTGATTTTGTTTTATTTTTTTATTTTTCTGCAAACTTCCCAATCTGTCAAAGACAACACTTCTTAAATGTTTAAAGAGAGAGTAATCAATATTAAACCCTACCTCCATTGCCTTTCTTATTTCCTTGTTTTCTTTTGTTAACATCTGAAAAAAATAAAGTTTTCATCAGATTTTTTTTAAAGATAAGTGCATAAAAATAGAGTTATGGGCTTATCTATCTATAGACATAATTGCAGGTAATTTTAATAAAATATGGTTGTAGGGTTCCAAACTAGCTTTGGATTATAATTTATATAAATCACCTGATAGTTTTGTGGTAAATGGACAAATTTTAGTTCTCAATATTCTGAACATTTTTGCTCATGTTAAATTTTCTGTATCTATAGCTGTTTTCAATGGTGAAAATATATATACATTTAAAACCTGTGTTATATGCTTAAATTTTAAGGGTTATTCCTACTTCCTTGCAATCAAAGAAAATTAACTGAATTATTCCATGTCATGTGATAACATGTTATCCAATAGAATTGTTAGTAATATATATAAGGTATAGTTAATTAAATTATATTTATTGTTAAAATTGTATGGGAGGCATCTTTGATTTGAAAAGCAATTACAAAAAATATAGTTTTGCTTACCAGTGCTACTGCTACATCCTTGTCTTTCAAATCTATTAATGTCGCTTACTGTAAAAAATATGAAACATAACACATGTTTTTTTTAAATCATCCTTTTTTATTTAAAAGTTAATAATTTTAATTATCTCACCTCTAATATTTAGGACTAAGATAATATTGATTTTCGTAAATTTTCAGATAGTGAACAGCTACTGAGCTGATTCTGTTTTATCAATGCATGTATATAGTATGCCATTTGTAAGAAATTGAAATTTGGTGAACATGAAACAAATATTTTTTTGGATCCAACAAATGCATTTAACCTCGGTGCATATATATACTATATCAACCTATCTCAAGTCAGGAGTCATTAATTTTAGTGATAGAAACTGTAAACCAAATAAATAAAAATCTAAGTATCAAAACAGAAAAAAAATCTTTATTCTAAAATCATGTTAATTAACCATTCATGTTTTATTATATTATGTTTATATACTAAACCAAGAGTTCCAAATGGTGAAGTTGAAATCATCTCTTCGTAAATTTTACGGACGCTACGAGTTGGTTGACTGCATGGAATAACCGTTTCACAAATGATATCCGATATGTTCCTTATGTCAGAGCTACAATACCCATTCCCTTTTCATGAATGGAACCTACCGAATTAGACTTTTTACCGGATTTGTAATAACATAAGTAATACGACTTGTGCCACATTTGGAGCAGGATCTGCTTACCCTTTCAGAGCACCTAAGATCACCCCCAGTTTTTGGTGGGGTTCTTGTTGCTTGTCTTTTATTTTTTAGCCATGTCCTTGTTAGTTTATTTTCAATCTATGAGTTTGACTGTCCCTCTAGTATCTTTCCCCCCTCTTTTTCAATTCTTCTGCAAATTTCACCCTTATGACTAAAAAGATCTCAGGCTAGAAATAACCTGTTTGTCTTTTCAGTTTTATTCTTAGATTTTTTTTTTTTAATTTCAAATTGTTATACAATACCTCCATTCTTTCCTCCTTGTTTTCTCTTTTTTGCATCTGAAATCATAAATAATTCCTTAGACAACAGAAAATAGGAAAGTGTATATCTTCAGTTTTCTGTATTAATATTTTTCTGTAAGCTGTACATAATTTAATACAAAAATACAAAAAACATTAAAATTTTGAAATGTAAAGTCAAATATTTAAAAATAATTTTTTAGATTCCCAAATAATGATTGAGACCAAGTTTGGTGTAATATTACGTGAGGATTTTTGAAAACGACTTAACGGACTATGACAATAACAACAACAACGACGATTGCCAAGTGATGAGAATAGCTTACTTGACCTTTTATGTCAGGTGAGCTAAAAAGGGACATGAGGTCATAAAACAGGATTATATAAAACTTATAAGTAGTATTACCTTTAACTGATATTGCTGATGTATCATTAGCTATGTTGTGATCTCCATTTGCTAAAAATGAATAAAACATATAATTGTTGTTTAAAATAAGTTATGCTTTAATTAAAATATGTACCTTTTTTCTCTTTTTAATTACATTTTTATGCCCCATTTATGGGCATTATGTTTTTCAGTCTGTCTGGTCCTCGTCAGGTTAAAGTTTTTGATGAAATTGAAGTCCAATCAGCTTGAAACTTAGTACATATGTTCCTTATGATATGATCCTTCTTATCTTAATGCCAAATTATAGTTTTGACCCCAATTTCACATAAAAAATGATAGTGCGATTGGGGCATCTGTGCACTATGGGCACATTCTAGTTGATAGATCTTTTAAAAGTTGATCTTTAATAAAAAAACATTTTGCATTATTTATAATCAATTAATGATTTTCATTGTCTCCAAATATAAATGAACAGATCTAAGATGCTCTCTTTGTTTTAGTTAATGTAGTTTATAGAATTGAACATTTGTTGACACCAATTTACAGAAACAGGATAGAAAGAAATTAATACAAATAAAATACAAAAAATGTGTCTTTCAGTTTAATGTCTAATTTATGAACATTTGAATTATATCATTAGGAAGCTACATGTATATATTTAATACCTTATCTTACGTTCTACTAAATGGTACAAATACAGATAATCAATCCTTAAAATGGAAACATTACTTACAATTCACTTCATCTTCTGATAGTTCTGTATTCCTATGTAAGAAAAACATAATTAAAAAAAGCTTCCTAAAGCTTTCAATTTAAGGGTCCTACCATTTAATTTTTATGAGGAGCTAGGGTGAAATGTTGTGTTAAATTTATTTTTTTTTAAGTTGCAATCTCTGACCTGCCTTTCCGATAAAGATCCTCCAAGAAAAAAAAACACATATGAAAAATGAAATATTATTAGTTACATAGTGTGCTAATGACCTAGCACACTATGTAACGAATTTATCTTACCGACTATCTTAACGTGTGAAATTTAGACTAGTGACCTATCAAAATGAACTAGTCTTCAATACTGTTAGCATTAAAAAACTACTTCCATTGATCCTACAAAAACAGATGCCAACAATAACAACTTGTTATGTTTAAATGTTTAAATGTGTTTTATGAATTTATTTCAATCTTTAATCATCAATTTCTTCGTCTGTTGAAACCTTTAAGATTTTTTCTCAGTACCGTTTTGTTTTTATAAAGGGACGTAACACCACTACTAACCATATATGAAATAAGCCCCGCATCCTTCTAACCTAATATGGAATATATAGGGACGTAACATCACTACTAACCTAGTATGAAATAAGCCCCGCCTCCCTATTTACCTAATATGAAATATACACGGTCTCAACGCGGACGCTTTTAACCTATCATATTCCTAGAAATGTATAGGAGGTAAGATAATAATTAATCTGCAAAGGAAATAACCCCAAATGCTGAAAACCACATCCTAAAGTGTTTTTAAAATACAAATCATGATATTTCAACCCATAAAAATTAAGGGTATCAAACTTACATTTTACACCATAGATTTATTTGCAGCAATGTTGGTTGAAATGTGGATTCAAATTGGACACATTTTTAAAAGTAGATACCATTAAAGGATAAATCTAAGGAATTTTTAATGCAATCCATATAGTGTAATAGCTAGGAGATTATTTATTATCTAAATGGAGAACAGATGCCAAGTGTTGACAAAACCTCACTTTACACTTTGTGTGCTAAAATAAGTAAACTTTAATGTAGTGATTTCATTAGTACCTGATTTTAAAAGTCACTCTTGTCTTCAACATGCTCCTTAAGATTTCTTTCCCGTAAGCTGATGGTTCTTTGAAGACCATGCCATCTGGCAACCCTTCCACGTCTACCTTGATTGAACCCTCTTTGATTTCTTTATAAGGCACTTGGGTACCTAAATTTGTTGAATTGGCTAAAAGTAGAATATATGAAATTTTATTTTATATATATTTTCTTTTTGTCCATCCTGATATACAATAAAATATGTATTTAAATAGCCATGTTAAATTTGTATAATGTTTTAAAAGGAACTGATTACATGATATATTTTTTTTTCAAACACTTACTGACAATTCAACTTTGAAAATTCTTATCATTAACAGCAAGTAGATGCTTTTGTACACTTCTACAGTTAAGATTAACTATTGATATACATCTGAATTTCACCATCTTGAACAAGGTATAGAAGTACACAATTTGTCTATCTAGTTCTTTAAATAAATCTGCAACTTTTCAGACATATGTGACATTTATGATCATTTATGTGTAAGACTTTTCATCACTTTGCACAAAAATAATTCATTTAATGAATTTTGTTTTCTGTTTCTACAAAAACTTAATGTATGTGTTTGTTCAACCGAGCCATTTAAGGGGAGATCAGTTTTATAATATAAATAAACTTAAAAAGTTTGTAGAAACTTAATTATCACCTACCCCAAGCTGCATTGAAATGCTTTCTTACAAGCTGTTTCAACTCCTTCCTTTCTTCGTCAGCCCCTTTACATAAGTTGTCAATTTTTGATGCTTTGTCTTTCTTTCCTGAAATAAATGTACCATAAAAAATGAATACAATCATGGAGTGTCATGGTAGATTCATCTAATACTTTTAACTAATATAAGATTGTTTTGTATGTAATTATGCAGTAATGTAAAAAGACCTTTGGATAAATGTCTGATTTCAGGCTGGCTACTTCGAATTGTCAACAAGGTTAATACAATATACCTAGATTGATAAGGTGACAGGGACATATAATTCATATATCTCAATTAGTAAGGCCAAAAGATTTCTTATGAATTAAAAAATAAAATGATAAATGAAATCAATTTTACCTGAAAAGAACACATTAAACTTCTGTTCAATGTCACAGTCAAAAAACTGGACTGCATCTTTAGTGCCAAAAATATCTGGTGCACTGTCCGTCTCTCTATTGCAGCCTATCCCACAGACAGAATAACCTATGGAATCTAAGGTTTCACACTGTAATAATAGTTCAGTAAAGTTAGGGAGCATATAGAAACAGAAACAATTCATAAATCATTTTTTACATAGGCTATTGAATTTTTTATACCAAAACAACACATGTAGTTAACAACATGTGTAGGTTGTGCCAATTATGTCATAATGATAATATAGAAGCAAAAACATTTTATCTTGCACTGTACAAAATATGAATCACAAAGAAATGTTCTTATATCAAAATTGTCCAATTTTAAAAATTATGACAAACAATCCAAAACTGAGGATGAATATATCAAACTACTTAGTAACTTAATAGCAAGTGTAGAAAAACACTTAGATTAATATCATCTTTTATTAATCAATCATTTGAATTTAGGAAAAAATGTCCTGACAAATGAGTAATATGAACAATTCGAAGCTATAACATACAATATACTTATGTCAGTAGCCTATTCTAAATTAACCTATGTATATAATATATATATAACTGCACATTTCATTGTTCAAAATGTGCCTATTGATATGCTATGTAGTATTGTTTAATTGCTGCATCATTACTATCTGTATACAAGGATTTTCACTATACAAATCCTTGCTGTATACTAGTTGTATGGGCCGTTGCCAATTATTGTAATTGAGTTTATGCCAATAAAATATTTGTATTTGTATTTGTATTTGTATTTGTGTATACTTTCAAGCAAGTGATCATGAAGGAAGAGTATACTGTAATAAAAAATAAAATTTTAATATCCATTATTCATTATCAAAATAAATACCAGTATTTGTTACAAAAAATTTTGATTTTGAATAATCTAGTATATTGTTATAATCTGGCTAAATAAACACTTACAGCATGATTAATGATTTTAAGTTGTGACAGGATCACAGCATCCCTAGGTTTCCCTTTATAGGGATCCTGCCTTATCTTTTTTGCCTCTTCCCTGAAGACAACCCTGTCATTCTCCTCCACTTTTTCCCACTCACTGGACAAATGCCTCATGTAGGTAGGTCCATCCATTGTGCCTAAAAAAATAATTAACAAAAGGTTCCAGAAGATGCCTAAGACACATTAAATTATGTACAAACAAGTTATGTTTTTAAAAATTTTAACATCTGTCTGTCATTTATATCTTCTTTAAATATGCATAGCATGTTTATAAGTCTAAAATGTTTGGGAAAAATGTTTGTCTTGCATGCAACTATTGCACTTTGCTGTTGTTAAATCAGTTATTATTAAATTAAAATTCTCTAAATATTTTTCAGATGTTATTTTTTCTCATGCATGCATAAGCTTCTGTCTCAGTTATATAAAATTCTCTGTTTTTAAAAAACATTGTAGTTGTGAATGTCTAAAATAATCAACAACTAATGGTATGGCAATGTTCACTCCAAAATAATTTCTTTACACTCCATAATAAACACCTAAACAAAATGTTTATTTCAAAAACTTTTTATAAGGTATTCTACATCATGATTGAGGCTTCTGTTGCAGTTTATAAAATATATGAAGTAATAGCAACTATTATAATTGCTGTATAATCAATAAAATTCTTTAAAACATGTATAACTGTATAATAATTCACAATATACAAAAACAGAGAAACTATAAACAAACCCCTTTTGATCGTCTTTGCAAACAAGGCATAGGCATTAGTACCCCCAGCAATTACAACCTTCTTCTGGGTAGGTTTAGCTTCTCCATTAAGCCTCCTTTCTCTTGCATTTCTGTTGCCAATCCACTCCTAAAATATTTTAAAGGTACCTCAGATATCTTATTTAAAATATAAAATATATCTCCGTCATATTATATAAAATATCTTATAATATATAAAATATCTCATATAGTTTAGTTTTTAAAATATCTTATATATTATATAAAATATCTTATAATATATACGATATCTCATATAGTTTAGTCTTTAAAATATCTTATATATTATATTTATAAGACATCTTATAAACTATATTAGACATCTTTAAAACTATATTAGATATATTATAAACTATATTATATATCTTAATAACTATATGATATTATATTATTAATTCTTATATTTTAACTAATTTGATTCGTTCAGGGATAGCCACATGTTAAACTATATTTTCGAAGGTAGATAGAAAACGGCGGATAGCAAAATGCATATTGCACGGTTATTTTTAGAATATCTAAAAACAGTTATACTTTGTGACCTCATGTTATGAATTTCATGACATTGGTAAAAGTTTTATAAAAAATATATATGATCGATTATTTGAAGAAAAAAAAAATCTTCAAATACATAAGATGTAAAATAAAAAAAAAGTAAATGAAATAGCATCTAACATGTTGTTATTGTCTGGGAGACAATATGATATCTATAAAATTCGAACAAAATCAAATGACGATTTTGATACAAATACGGTCGGAAATTAATAATATAACAATTATCGCCTATGTATTACGTCAATACAGGATATATCGACCCAAAGAAGTATATCGACCTTGGACTTCGTCCTCAGTCAATATACTTCTTCAGGTCAATATATCCTTGTATCGACCTCATACAAAGGCTATAATTGTATAATATAAGCTTTACATGATACCTTATAAACTGTATGAGATATCTAATAAAGTTTATTAACATTCTTGCAGTTGAAATAAATAGTAAAACAGCTTGCCATAAAATTTGCTATTTTACTTTTACCTTCTTGAAATTTACTTCTTTTCAAACATAGAGATATTAAAGCTACATTGAACAGAATATAGTGAATAAATAATATCTTAAAATTCAAATGATTTGTAGATTTCATTTTGGTTGGTGCAAGTTTCAGTTTCTCAAGGTCAGCTTTAACTACTGTTCATAATATCAACCCAAAAAGTAGAGTTAAAAGTAATTAATCCACAAAATTTAAGTTTATTGTGGCACCCTACCTGTAGGAACTGATGAAGATATTATTATAAGGTTTCTTGTAATTACCTTGACCCTTTCTGTTCCTATTTCCAACAAATTTGAAACTTTCTCAATGCTCTCCTTGCACTGTTTCCCTGCATGCTTCATTCCTGCTTTCCATTCTTCCTCTAGTTTTTCATTCATATTGCATGAATAATCTTCTCTTGCTCTCTTCTATAATAGATGTATTTACTTAGCCAATTTTTAAAAAGATTAAGTGAATATTGTTTTTAGTTTTGCAGTTAAGTACTTGATGATCATAATAAACAGCTCAGATCATTTACACAATTTTGACCATGCATTGAATCCAAATTATTGTCACATTTACATATTATAAAACTAATATAATGTTGTATGATTGACAATGAGACAACTATCCACCAAATTTCAAATAAAGTGGATGTAAGCAGTTTAAGGCAAACCTATAAGGCCTTCAACAATAAAAATCAAAAAGGCGCAAGCTTGATATAACCTGTAACAGTTATGGCAAGTATGGGCACCACATTTAAACTTTCAACAGCTCTGAATTTGGATTGTGGTTGAATATTTAACACAGCATTTGATGAGTATTTATTGAAGAAATGAATTAATAACAAGCGATAAGGAATATTAGTTTGCACTTGATGATGTCTATTAAAGTATTCATCATGTTTATAGATCGGTTAAAATACCCAAAACAAATGTTGCGTAATGGAAATCTAGGCGATAGCAATACACGGGAATGTCCTAACGCTGTAAAAATCAAGTATCTAAGACTATCAATCAGTACACATCCAACATCCGATGAATTTAGTATAAAGACATCCTTAACCATCAAAGAAATGCCTGACCTTGTTCATTACCAAACTATAAGTATCAACAGATTGTTGTACAGTGAAGGTACATTTGTGAAATATTTAGTATGGTTTTTGATAACAAAATCAATATTTACACCAATAAAAACACTCCTTTGTCCAGTTGTTGTCTCTTTAACACATTCCCCATTTCCATTCTCAATTTTAATATTAAAAGATTTAAATACAGTGTCTTTTGTAAACATGTCTGTTTAGGTGGCATACAAATTTTATCACTAAAACTGTCAAACTCATAGACATATTAACTATCAATAAAGGTTTTAACCACCCTTATGTTAAGATAATGACTGTACCATGTCATTAATAGCTGATTTATCTGTTCAAAGCATATTTTTGATTTACCTATTGATGTTGAAACTGTCTCAGGTTCAATGATTAGCATGTTAGCCTCAAGAGGTCATGGGTTTGAATCGTGGGCATGTCAAATGACTGGTCATGGGCATATCAAATGACTGGTCGTATCGATCAAAGTCAGAATAATGTATTTCCATGTACTATTACCATGCAAGAGTGTGCTGGCATGTGTAGTCTGAAAGAAAGCAGGGCCAATGTTCAATTCTTATATTCATATTCTTGTTTGAATATGCATGTACCAAGTTTTAGACTAGTTTTTTTTATATACAAGAAATTTCTTAGTATTTTTTTGTTTAACATTTCACAGTGGTAGAACGCTTTTACTTTAATTATTCATCCCTTATTTTTATTAACTTTGTATTTACACTGTATCATAAATCAAATTTATTCGTTCATTGTGTGTTAATTTGTGTTACTACGTCTTTTGATTCAGTTAAGCCATTCGAATTAATATTTTAGTGTGTCTTTCTATGTTGTGATGTTACACTATGGTTTCAGATAAGGGAGAAGGTTTGGTACCATTAAAATGTATAATCCCGCTGCAATTCTTTGCACCTGTCATAATTTAGGAATCTGATGTTCAATAGTTGTTGTTTGTTTATGTAGTTCATCAGTGTTTCTCGTTTCTTGTTTTTTATATAGATTAGACCATTGATTTTCTGGTTTGACTGGTTTCACACTAGTATTTTTTTAGGGCCCTTTATAGCTTGCTGTTTGGTGTGAGCCAAGGCTCTGCGTTGAAGATTGTATCTTGACCTATAATGGTTTACTTTTATAAATTGTGACTTGCATGGAGAGTTGCCTCATTGGTACTCATACCACATCTTCCTATATCTTAATTGACACTGGACATTTAACAAACAATCAATTAGATTTTGATTTTTATACTGTAAATTCAGAAATTATTGCGAGGTTTTTATTATTGTGAATAATGCGACAGAGTTGTAAACGCAATAATTAAAACTTGCATTTTGTAATATTTTAACTGAATTAAGCAAAATCATAAAAATTAAAATCGCATTTAAGTTTAAAATGACAAAATCGCAATAATAAATGCACGTAATAATTTCTGAATTTACAGTAGTTTCACTTTATGCTTGACCTACTTCGGTTAAATTTATACAGTGGTGGCATGACCTTCAATTTCAGTCAAACAGTTAACTAGTGCTTTGGTCCTAAATTGGGAGTGTAATTTTTTTCTGCATTGAAGGCCTCAATTTACTGGAGGTGAAAAACAGCAATAAAAACACTCCTCCTTTGCATGTTTTTATGTATGGATTGTGTTTTATTAATTGATGATACATGTATGTCACCTAATAACATGAATAACCTTTTTATATTCAGTCATATCAACTATTTCAAGTAACAGTAATTTGATTCTAAAAAAATACAAAGTTCACAGTTTAAAGTTTTTATTTCTATAAGACATATCATATACATCAAATTGATTCAATGATCATGTACATATATTTTTACAAAAGTTAACATATTTTAAATGGATTCACCATCATTGATCCTTGTAAATGGAAATACCACCACAGAGGGTTTTTTTCATTTTGTACACCTTTTATTTATTTGAACAAATTTAGTAATTTTCAAGGACTTGTTAAGTTACTTTTGGCAAAGGGATTTTCTAAAAGCATATAAAGATATGCCCTTTAACAAGCAGGGAAAACAAATATTTCAAAAAGAAGAAATTTTAATGTCCGAGAATATATAGGCTTAGGGACTACACCATAAAATTTAAAGATAAAATGTAGCTATTATAAACATGCCTTCAAATTTAAAAAAAAAAAAAAAAAACATGGGGTCACCAGACTTGTTTTCTTGTTACATATAAAAATAAGTAAGTTCACAACGCATTTTTTCATATAATTATCTGAGTTATCTCCCATACTATCTGAGTTATCTCCTCTTATTAAGCAAAGTAAGTCAAAGAACACTAAAATAATGACCAATTATTGTTAAGGGAGTCTTCAAAACTTTTGACAATTTCTGAAATGCTAATTTTTAACCTTTTACAGCTGGACCAAAATCACTCCTTTACTTTTAAAATTCATGACCCAAATTTGTTTAGTGTAATTCCATACCCATACTTGCTATTTAAGGCATAAACATGAAGAAATAAATTTGGAAGGGGTATAAAAAAGAGTAACACCCCGTACACACTAGTACTAGGGACTATATTTGTGGACAAAAAATCAAAGGACAATAACTGTGTTTCTGGACCAGATGGAAAAAAAAGATTGAGGAAGAAATCTGAGCCAGTACCTTAACTACAGGTCTTTTTTTTCAATTTCAATCAATAAAAAGTTATATCTAAAGTCAATAATATACATAAACAAAAGCTCTAGTCAGCTCTAGCAAGATTTTCAAATCAACTAATTAAGCAAAATATGTGTATACACACATACAAAAGTCATAAAATCAACACATTTAAACATACATTTTGTAGTATTTAAGATACCATCAATGACATATATAAAAGTTAAAAGCATAGTATAAAGCAAAATGAAGTATATCTTAAAACATGGCCAAATTAAAAACAAAATAATATATAAAAACACTATGCATTGGCATAAGCTGTTATTTGGAACCATACATAAACAAAAGCTCTAGTCAGCTCTAGCAAGATTTTCAAATCAACTAATTAAGCAAAATATGTGCATACACACATACAAAAGTCATAAAATCAACACATTTAAACATACATTTTGTAGTATTTAAGATACCATCAATGACATATATAAAAGTTAAAAGCATAGTATAAAGCAAAATAAAGTATATCTTAAAACATGGCCAAATTAAATACAAAATAAAATATAAAAACACTATGCATTGGCATAAGCTGTTATTTGGAACCCATAGTCCAGTCTACATGTAACTAAGTTCAACTGTCCCTCTGGTATCTTACGTCCCTCTTTTTGAACCTCAAACTAATTGCAACATAAAATGTTAAAGTTCTAATCTATAGCATTTTGCTCCAAATAAACACAAAAAAGTCCCATAAAATCGAACTTGAGGAAAACAAAATTTTATTATTTTTGTTATTACTTATAGAAATTAACATTGCAAAGGGAGATAACTCCGCAAAAATGAGTCTTTTTTGTCAGTTTTTGGGTTGATTTTCTTAAAATTCATGTGAAATATAATAATTCAATGGGGTTATAAGCTCGTATTTGACTATATTATATAATATTCTGCTCATGAAATGAACAAAACCAAATTTTTATGGGTATTTTAATTCTTTTTGCATATTTTTCGTTAAAGAAATTGCAAATTTATGGCTTTGTATAACCATTTTGAAAAAAAATAATGTGAATATTTGATATTGTTTATATCTGTAAGTTTGCTGTTCAGTGGCGGATCTAAAAATTTTCATAAGCATGATAAGTGGGGGCCCACTGACTGCCTAAGAGGGGCCGCTCAAGTCATGCTTCAATGATTCCCTATATAATCAACCAAATTTTTCCCAGAAAAGGAGGGCCGGGCCCCCGAAGAAACCCTCTAAATCTGCTCCATAACTGAATTACTACTGGTCATGCTGATATATTATAATAATATAATAGGTACGGAAATCCAAATCATTAATACTACTAAACAATGTACAAAAAATCAACCCCTAGTAACTAGTCCACCATCTGTTTCATTATACTTGTATGCGTATCATAGCAAAACAGCTGTGTAATGTTGTATGAACATAATGAAATGCAAAAAGTCTGTTAAAATTTGTATAAGCATGTGTCAGTCAACCATTATCTGATAGAGACCATCCTTCAAGTTTTTTAGGCAGAAATAACCTTATTTTCTGGAGGTGTCTTTCATGTGAATGTTTAGTACATGGATCTATAAAGTATAACAGATATTCTTCTTCACATTTACATAATGAGCATATTGGGGATATACTCATATTATTATGTCTTGTCTCTTGATCGAACTGGCTCTTTCATGTGTATGAATAAT